TGACCCAGATCAGTTCTCTTGGAGACAATGGCTGCTTTGGGCAGTAGATTCTATGGCAATATACCCTGCTGAGGTCCCTCCCCACCCCAAATCCTGCCCTCCCCAGGCTCTACCCCTCAAATCTACAGGTATTTCCCAACCCAGAGTTGGCAACCGTGTAATCAGCTATGGAACTACTTTCCAGACCCTTGGAACCCAGAAAACATGGCACAGGAGGAGGTGCTTTTCTACCTTAGCTGCCACTGCATAACACCCCCCTCCCCCTCAAAAAATAAGTCAGAGGTGGAGAGAACCATATCTGTTACCATGAGGCTGTCCTCCCATTCTACCCACTTGGGGCAGCAAAATGACTTGAGACAGCCCTGCCTTATAGCTAAGCAGAAGGAAAGAAACATGGCTTGCCTCCCTCCATTTTCCGCTTCCCTCTGCCGCCCCACCAGCCACTCATCTGGAGCTTCCTTCTAGATCTCGTTGTATTTCTTCCCACAATGGGCATTACTCCTAGTAGAATCAAAGTTGGAAGGGACCTCCAGGGTCATCTAGTCCCTCTCATGCAGCAACTGTGTTTCAGCTCATGACGGGGGGCATTCTTCAGCAGTTTCTTCCACACATTGGGACTGCCACCAAGCACACAAATTGGCTTAGTTACCGTAAAAACTTCCCTTCTTTTTAGCATATAACAAATTGAGTCAAAAATCAATAATACGAGACTTCCAGTTGATGGCGGCACGCTCACGGACTCACCTCCTGGACCTCCCGGGGGTGTCTCTGTGCTCTGGCGGAAAGAGGGGGCGAGCAGACTTGTAACCCCCCCCCCAGGGGCCCGGCGAAGGGACCCTGGCCAAGGAGCTTTAAGGGATAGCCTCTTTGATGGTGGAATGCCAGAGAATCGAGGCTCCCCTCCACTCCAGTGGTTCTTCCAGCCGAGAGACCGAATGGTACAAGTGAAGCTAACTGGGTCAAGCGCAGGAGATCGGGCGTGAAAAATGATGAAAGAAGCGGTGTCGGAAGACCAACTATGAACATGAGTCAACTGAGAAACGATTTTTAAAAGAAAAGATGCTCCCTACTCTATCACGTGGAACGGAAAAAGTGAGCGAGGGGGGGACGCCTCCCATGCGCATAAACTGTTGAGCGAGGGGGGGGGGAGCAGAAGGAAAACGTGCGATTGCCCAGAAGTACTCACCCAGTCAAGTTAAGCAGTCAAGCGCATATTCAGAGACTTAAAAAAAAATTCCCGAAAGTAAATAAACGGGGGGAAAGATGGCGGGGAAGAGGGACAGAGACAAAGAAAAACTTTTAAAAACCAAACTAGAGTCCCCAAAGCCGGAAACGACCAGTGAGACGGCTAAGGCTATAGCTGAGTGTATGCGCCCTCTGCTGGAACAGTTAAATAACTTCAAAGAACAGATGTCCATGGTAACATCAAATATTACAGCCCAAGAAACGCAGTTGTCTGTAGTAACAACAAGCATTACTGCTCAACAAACACAAATAACAGATTTGATTCAAGTAATGAAGCAGGATGCTGAGAAAATAAAGGAAATAGCTGAATCAATGCAGAAAGTAAAGAAGAAAGTGCAAAAATTGGAAAAGAAAACTACTAC